GTTTCTAGTTCGTCTGCAGTTCGAGTTTAGTTATTATTTAATTCGTTACAAGTTCTTCAGTAAGACTTGTTACTTGCAGTCTTTAAAATTTAGAGTTGAGATTAAGTCAAATCCAGTCCCTAGTCTGCAGAAATTTAGAACCGAAGTACTCTCCGGCGTAATAGACACTGTATGATTCTACAATATTATTTTACCAACGACGAGTTAACTCGTCGCACTCAATAAATATTTAATCTCATAATTCGCAACTTACGGGATTATTAATTGCCATACAGCTCGCAGACAAGTATTCTTCGACAATTAAGCAAATAATTGGAACGAAAATTAATTTTCTCGAATAACGTACTCACCACGACGGGAATGAAAAATAAATTACTGTTCTCGCAGTGCAGATCATCTTGCAATAACAAATTGACTCGTGAGCGGCGATGAGAGGGCCGAAAAAGCAAAGTGAAATCAATCAGACGAAATAATAGAAACGCTGGCAAACATTTTCCACGGTGGATGCACGCGGGACACGGTCGGCTGTAAAAATTTCCCGCGAAAAGGGAAATTCGGTCCGCTGTTCCCGGCGATTCGATCGTTTAAACGCGCGTTTATTGCCCCGGCGTACATCTTTATACGCGTTTTTGGATGTCATCGCAGTTCCGGGCGCCGGCCAATTACAGAATTGGATTACGTTCGGCTCATTAATCTAAACATCGGCGCGGAACGGCGAGGACCCGCGATCCGGGGTAAATGAATATTCGAACGTACACCGGTACATGTCGAGGTGTAAAGATTGATTTACGAGTCCCGCAAGTCTGTAGCCGAATGGAGGAAAAAAGTTTTAATTGCCGCCGCGGTGTATTAAATAATTCCACGCGTATCGGCGCGGTGGCTTTCGCGCGGAAATTGTTCGCGTTCGCGATGCTTTTCATAAAACTCGTTTGTTTTCGCATTTCGGGTAGATGTCCGTACGCGCTGTGATTTAATTAACATCCGAAATCCTTGAAATGATCGATAGAATAATCCGTCGAACGTGTATTCACGCATTGTACGGTCATCGTGGCTAATTACGAACTTTGGTTAGTGGGAATTCGCTGAATTTTTGGTCAGCGTCAATCGAAACTCGCGATGACTGTTTTGATATCACGACTGCCTGGATAATATTAATAAGAAGAGTGGTGACGATAGAGATAATTATGATAATAAATAATAATAAAAGTATTAGAGAAACGTGATGTAGGAATAATTGATAATAATTTAAAAAAGATGGTTGATGGAAATGGAAAATTATTGTATACGTAATCGCGTTAATTTGCATCTGGATAAAAATCGATATTAATTTTGCCGGAAGCAGCTGTGCTTTTAGTACAGCTGAAACAAGAAGTCCGATGCCAATAATCTTGATTGGTTTGATCCCCATAACGTTAACGATACCAATTAATCGGATTTTCCTGATATTTATGCACCTACGTAGAAATCGCTGATTTAATTGCTCGTTGTAAATCGTTAGATGCAAATCAGAAAATATAATCCGCAAATGCCGTTAGAGATCCGATCATCCGGCGATAAAATCGTGAAATGGGTTTAAATACCATGGCTATCGATGTTCTTTTATTTTTATTTTCTTTCTTTGTGTGTGTTTTTTATTTTTGGAAGTAAGGTTCGATAACGAGATTTCGTTAAATTCACGAGCTTTTATTGGTGGGAAGCAGGAATAGATTATTCTACGAACTGCCAGTCCAGGAAATGTATTTTCTCTCACCGGGGAGTCAAAGGCCTCTCGGTTTATTCCATCACAAACCTACAGGTCCCACGGGTGTGCGAGAAACTGCAGATTTGTTTTCGTGTTATGCACGGCGTGGACTTGCCCGAAGTTAAGGTTTAGTTCCTAAGGTGCTCGATATACGCGTAGCCATCGCAGAGTTGCCATCGAGGTACAGTTCAATTTTGATCTTAATCAAGTTTGCCCTTTTCGAAGTCGGCTTTCTAACTCGATCGAGCCTTCGTCTCTTTGACAATTTCGTCACGTTCTTGGCAAACCATCTTCTTTAAATAAACAAGCTCAAACATTTCCTCCCTTTAAACCCTTTAATACGCAAGATCTTGTCAATCGGCTGTCGTAAAACGATGCAAAATTTGTAACTTCGGTCTGAGAATTTCGAATGAAATATAAATAACTTAGTTACCAGTGTTTTAGCACTTAGTAACAAATTCACGATAATTGGTTACACAGAAAAGTCATTCGCAATAAATTTTATTTATTAACTGATCTGCATGATACAGAGATAGGATTGGCATTTTAGATTTGGGTTCAGGTATGATTAAACTACTTTAGATTCTTCTCGTATATAATTCAACGGGACACTCGAAATGAAGATATCGAAATTCGATATTTTTATATCTATCTTGATATTTAGAAACAGATATCTATCACTAGTCTGTGTACTATTTCAGGCATCATGGAAAGAACACTGTATATAGCGAAATACTATAATATAAAACGATTTCACGTTTAATAAAAGATATAAATAAATAGATTAACATACTCTTCATAGGATAACTTATAAACTCCTTTATGGCGGTATGACGACGAGAAATTTTGCTAAAATCAACTGTATATTCCCATAAATCACGGAACAGAAATCCGAAGCAGGTCATTTTGTCCCCCTCGACGATTCCAGTATCAACTACTCGTTACACACCGCTTCTTACCCCCATACATCCTCAAGCACGCGCAATAATTCCAAACTTCCCTTTACACCCAACACCCACCTACACCATCTTGACACCACAGCAAATCCTCGCTCAATGAGAAACCGTTCGCCGCAAACACCCTCGATAGTACATCTCGCAATCAGCTATGCAACGATCACCGATACACCGTGGATCCTCGCAGCGGTACCGCTGCCATAACCTCCTTACCCCCGGAGAGGGTCGCGAATCCGTCTGACCATAGAAACAAGCGGCTCGCAGACGCTTCCTCGGGCCACTTTTCCCGACTTATCTTGGAAATATATGTAGATTATGCGTGTCGTCTCGAGTAGGTCGCTTTGTACGCGACTGAGTCTCGAAATACAGTAACAGTCGCGAGCTGCCGGTCAAAAGAACTGGTCAGAGTCTTTCGGGGTGGCTGTTACAACCTAAGCAGCTCACGGAAAGCTGCTTACGATATTTGGAACGAAAAGGCGAGCCACGCCGCGGGTTAACTTGCCGTTCCTTCGAAATGACAGGGACGTCAGGCATGCCGGCATTTCATTATCATAAGTTACGCGGCCCCGACGTCGGCTAATGGCCGTCACAAAAGGACGAACACCGTGAAATACCGCGTAAGACGATTGCAACCGGGCACAATACATCGGCTTGCGATCTTTGTTGCTTTTAGCCCGACTTCCGGCCCACGATCCACCCCTCAGACCTCTCTCCACGTTCGGGAAAATACGCCGCAGCCGTATCGCAATTGCGCCAAGCGGAATGAATACGATCCGGAGTGCGTTTCGTCGGGAAAACGAGGTACTGTTATAGTGACACAGTTTCCGCTTCACGGTGTAGCGAAGTTCGTAACGAGTGCTCGTCTTATATTTAATTCGACGCTGGATCGCATTGTGCCGGCTCCGCGATAGCACGAACGAAGCTGCACGGGATGCGAAATTCCTGGTAATGGGGAACCCGTTGGAGGGATCAGGATCGCGAGTTTTGCGCAGTAATGAAGCGTGTTCCGGTTGCAGGTAACCTCGGATCCACGTCGAATTATCACATTTTTGCCAGCGAGTTTTAACGAGCAGTTGTACGGTCGATGATTAATTGTCTCGGGATTATGTTTGACCCCTTTAATTATTGGATTAGCCACGGGGAACGCGTGCTAGCGGTATTAATGGCCAGACACGAGTGTTCCGCACGAGGCAGTTTTCGGATTGCGGGATACTCGTTTTTTCTCATAGTGGTTATTTCGCGTTTCAGCGAGAGTAATAGCGGTAGTAATAAAGGGTATGAGACGTGCTATAAACGTCATATTTTTTACTCATACGGTTAAATTCTCTATTTTCGTTGCGTGTCTCGTATTATCTAAATACTCGTTCCTCACTATTTCTTTTCCCGTCTGTCAGTTTTGTTAATATTTTCGGGAAATTTCGTGGAATAAAAGTTACCGTCACCTGGTCAGGGGAATGATCCTTTTTAAATACCGAAAATATTTTCCTAGACTTGGAAACTTATTCGTACATACCTGTATTAGTCTCCAGTTGTCAATGTATCTATCTTCGGAGAATCTTTCGACTAGAATAGGGATTAGTATGATAAGGTCAACGGTTTGTAGTTAAAATTCTGAAAGAGATACTACCTGAAAGGAGGGAAGTCTGAACGATATATATGATAACGTATGTGAGCTCTTTTTCTTGTAAATGCTACCCTAGAGACTCATTACGTTGTTTACGTTGATATAAGTTTTCGAGAGAGTTTAAACAACCTTCTGCCATAGCAATATCCAGGTCTTTCGCTGGGGATAGAGCGAAAATAAATACAGGAGTATCCAATTCCTCCACCGTTTTTGGAATTCACTTTTGGACCGTGTCGAACCTCGATTTTATAAAATAACTAAACTTGGACAATATGTAGGACGTAGGTATATTAACTGTGTAGCATTCAATACTGTCACGCGATATACTATGTTTCTCTTCCATCAATTTTTTAAAAATATTCGAAAATTGGGTAAACGAATAAATCGTCTTTAAAATTGGACAACTGCATCTTCGTTGAAGTTTATCGAGAATAAACGCTTCCGTATTCATCTCCGTCGAATCGGTGTTATTTCGCGAATAAATTGCCCGAGACCCGGCGATCGCGAAACGCAATTTCACGCGATCGAATTTACCTTAACCGACACGTGTCGCCGCGTTACGTTTCATTGATCCGTATCAACGGTGGGTGACAAATCGCAGCGTGGCCGATAATTATTACATATACGTATACTTTATGTTTGGCCATTGATTAATGGCGTCCGTGCGATAAATTTGCAGTTCACCCGATGGTCCAGGTACCGAACCAACTCGTCGGTGCACCAACTGGAACCAACGTTACGCTGATCTGCCTCGTTGAGGCATCCCCAAAGGCCATTCATTTCTGGACACGCGAAACAGGTAAGATTCCATCACCGTTTAATCCTAATCTACCATTAATTACAATTTCATTTATTTTACCCGTTAATTACAATTTCATTCGTTTTACCATTAATTACAAAAGACAGTAGTAAACGTGAACATTTGTGTAGGATATCTTTAGACTAGTCCTATTGTTTAAGAGTGCGATGGTCGAAGTATTCTCGCAGGGAACACTTCGCCAGGTCTAGGGGACGTCAGGGGTCATCAGACACGAGGCATTGTTCAGCTTAGTGTTTCACGCGCCATAGACGCGCCATGGTGCTCGGAATCTATGGTGTCTTGCGTTGTACTTGATATATTTAGTATGTTCCTTGATCATGTTGGTACCGTCAGGGGTCATCAGACACGAGGCATTGTTCAGCCTAGTGTTTCACGCGCCATAGACGCGCCATGGTACTCGGAATCTATGGTGTCTTGCGTTGTACTTGATATATTTAGTATGTTCCTTGATCATGTTGGTACACTGCAATGTGTACTGTGTCTTGCTTCGATTATTTGACAGGTCTATATCTTTTTCTGGTTTAACTATACTCTGGTGCAGAGGAAAGGAAAGTACTATATCTTTCTCGTGTTTAAAATAGTGTAGGATATTTTTAGGCTTTATTAGGGTGCGATGGTCGAAGTGGTCCTGTAGGGAACAGAGGACTAGATTTAGAAGACCCGTTAGGATCTTCTAGCAGCCGAATCCTAAATGCTGAGTAATTCGTGGTTCGGTATTTATTTGTTTATTATAGTAAACTTCGTTTTTATCTCGGATCACCGGACATGAGGCATCATTCAGAAGCCTAATTTAGAGAATTAGGCTTCAGCACTTAAGATCTGGCTGCCAGGTGGGTCATAGGAGGTCGGGGCCGAGCCATGTGAAGTAATGCATCTGCGGTGACCTTTCGGAGAGCCTAATCCGGAAGGAGGAGTCTCTTCCATCCCTGAGCTTCGCGTGGAAAGAGTTTTCTCCTCCTCCGGAGGAGGCCCTTGCCTCCCAGATGGGTTTAAAGGGGTCCGTTCTGGAAGATATAGTTTAGTTCGTTGGTAGTTCGTTTTTAGTTGTTATTTAATTCGTCACGAGTTCGTTAAGAGTTTCTGAAGAGTCTTTGGAGAGTGAGATTTAGTAAGAGTTAGTTATAATTGAGATTAAGTCAGATCTAGTCCCTAGTCTACGGAAATTTAAAGTCAAAGTACTCTCCAGCGTATTAGAGACTGTATGACTGTATAATTTTGGAGAAATAGCTTTGAATTTATTTTTGTCCAGAGCAGAATATTTTATTCTGTATATTTTCTGGTATTCTACAGTGTGGAACACAATTCTATTATAAATAATAAGGTTAAGTTAACTTCGATATCCTTCTCGCTATGATATCCCGTGCAGAAAAATTATTCGTGCTGCTTAATGTTCTTCCCTCTACCATTCGAATGAGTTTGTAGTCGAGGCCGGATATAAGATTCCATTTTTCGAGTCGGAGAACGTGCATCGATAAGTTTATTAAATCGCCACCCGATAGGAACTGGATTTTCGTTGGCTGGGCGTGGGTGAAATAATTCGCCGAAGCGTGTTCGCTGGCGAGCTACGAAGATAAGTCACGTACAGAAATTTAAATGCGAAACGAAGTCGAGCATTGCATGGCTTCGAAAATTCGCCTTCTTTCTCCCGGTTCCATTCTCTTGTCCTCCTTGGGTGCAACGTCTCGTAAACCAATGTTAGCACGGTGTAGGAAAATATTGACAAACCTCTGGATTGCAAATCGGCGATTCTAGGAATTATTCCAGTTTAATATTTTATATATATAATATATATAAATCGGAGAAATATATCGCATTTTTTGGCGATGAAACGATATCGAATAAAATATCGCTATAATATATCTACTGTATTTAACTATTTATTTACCTATTTTCACAAATCGATTTACTCTGTAACGCAGTTAACCCTTTGTGCTCGACGATTTTTTAGCTAAAGAAGGGTATGATTTGACAAATTTTCTGCTATAAGGCTGTTGGATGACTAACAATCCGTTAGCCTTTAGTCACTAGAAGGAGTTAGCTAGTAAACGCAGACTAATTTCAGAATCCAAAAACAACTAACTTATTCCTACTTTCACTAAAGCCAATAAGGCCAATAGTCATCTTCACCCCACCAGAAACTAACATTACATAAGCACCTACAAAATTTGCGAAAGGCCAGTTTTTTCCTTTCCGCGGACTTGTATTTTTCCGACGTAGCTTTGTTCCTAGAACCCGCATTGTATATAGAAATCCGAGTTCCAACAAGGCTGATGATATTTTTTGAGCAGTGAATAAGAAATTGTATAATCATTAACTCCTGGAATTATTTAATTTCGATACCTCGCACACCGATACGTTATTTTAAGTTTGATATATTAATTAATATCGAGCTTCAAAATTTTATCAAATGGCGACTGAAAAGCCATTTGCATTCTCCAGTGCAAAGGGTTAAAATATAGGTAGTTTGTATTTTTAATATTCAACTGATATCTGAATATATATTTAATATATACAATATATTTTTCTTCTTACAGGCGAGATGATAATTAGCAACCATAAGTACGCAGCGTCAGACATCGAGACATCCGTGTACGGTGTCCAGATGCGACTGGTGATCATGAATCTGCAGAAGCAGGATCTCGGTGGTTACAAGTGCATCTCGAAGAACTCGATCGGCGACGCAGAGGGAACCATTCGACTTTACGGTAGGTTTTCACGGATAATACATTTATGAAAGCTCGCAAAGTCTCGATCCAGAGCTTCTGGATCTGTCTCCTCTGTTTCCGTTTACCTTTACCTATCCCGAAGAATTTTTCTACTTCGAAAACTATGCTCCCTGCAGAAATGCGACATACTCCCATGACACGCGTGCTCGCGCATACGTGTTTGTGTGTACAGTAGCTTTCGATGTAGCAGTGTTCTGATAAACACGAGTTCGTTAAAAGGCTAGTAAGAGAGAGCGAGTTACACGAAGTTGGTGAAAAATTTCCGAGTTCTGGAAGGTAGTCGGTTATTCTTAATAATGAAGTAAAGGAACGAGGATGTATACCGGTTAAAGCGTGAATGGTGTTAAAAGTTTTATTTATTGGGATTTATTATGCTCTGTTACGGTGCTCTTAAACTTTTCAGGTTTTTAAGGAAATTAAACATTTTCGTGTACCTTGTTATATCGAATGTTATATCGAGTTAGGGAAGAGATTGCATTTGTTGAATTTACCGAATGGATTATTTCACCTTTCCTGCACGGGCATTTTTATTTATTACGTTGTATCCAATATAAATATTTATTGGATATTTAAGTTATTAAAGTCTCGTTATATCTTGTTATTACTACATAATTATCAAAACAATCTCCCTTTTAATCTCTATTTATTAAATTACACGAAATATAAATATTTATTGGGTATTTAAATTATTCAAATTTCATTACATTCTATTATTATTTCGCAATTATTAATGCAATCTTCCTTCTTAAATTGTAATCAGTTTTAATTTGTAATATCCATTGGGTAATTCGTGTAGAGTTTATTTTCCGGAAAATCAATCCGTAATCGAAATTTCTCTATCATTCCCAATATTCAAAAATTATTTTTCTAAAAATCGTACGATTTTTTACTTAAAACAAAGTATTCCATAAAAAGTAGGAACGTTAGGAGATGAGATTCATTCTTGTCTTAAAAGTTAGGCGAGGGTATCCTAAATTTATCTTTTCTTCTATAATCACACAAATTTTTTTAATATTTCCATTTTTATTACAAATTTATGCTTCCAAATTTGTTATTCGTAATAAATTTGACAATTTATACGTGCTTTATAAACTAATATTTCATTCGCATCACGATAAGTGCTATTTGGCAGTAACAATGGCAGGGTAATCAGAGAGGCAAACACGGGACAGTAGATAACACATTTCAATATCTACCAGAAAGTCGAAGGCTCCTTGGCATGAGAAATATTTATAACGGAAGGAATTACATACCTCAGCACGTGTCTTTCTCGAAGGAACTGAAGGATTAGTCACGCTCGAATGATTTTGCGAAAAACACGCACCGTCTTCCGAT